AAGATTTTATGCGTTCTATTCCCTTTAAACAGCTTTCTAAATTTTATATAAATAATTGCAACACAGTTTTATTTGCCACGATGGAAAGACTTCTGTCCAGTCGCACTTGTATGCAGTTGTCTGCGCACTTCCCAGATATCAGTTACTCTGAGACGGAAGTGGCAAGTTATACAAATGCTCTACGACATCATCTCAAATGATTTACTTTCTCAAAGGAAAAATAGTATCTCATGGTTGCATAACGAGGGTATAGCGTTGTCTCCAGTTGACTTCCTTGCTTTCATTCGTTGAATTTGCTAATTTCTCAGTATCTTGTGATTCTCTGTGTCCATAAAATGGGCTTTACTCAGACAATGCTCCCTGCTTCTCATGTTCCCGTTCTTGAGAAAGGCAGAACCGATAGATACAAATTATATGCTATTATTCATAGCTTATAGTCTGTATCAATCGTAAACTACCGCTGATTAAACCAGATTGGAGGAAGGGTGGGGCTTCGATCCATTAGAGAGCACGTACGCGAGGGTGATGCAACCTGCAACTCCCACGTTTGCGTGCTCTCTAATCAAATGAAGCCCCGCCCTCCAGCCGCCAATCTGGTTGAATCAGAGGGCTGCTTCAATCAGAGAGAAGTTACAACAGAACAATAAACATACCAGGAAAAACTACTGGGAAAAAAGTATAAGAAAACTTACTTATAATTGATAACAATCATTGCGCCTATCATTGGAGTGGGATCGTTCAAAGCAAAATTGCCCAACACGAAATCTTTATCGATGATAAGCAGGAAAGTCCTCGTGGACTCGGCCATATTTTTGATAACAAATGCTTTCTTTGCTGTAGCCATCACAATAGCCATCGCTACATCGGCAGTCACCTGCAAGCAGCACACTGACAGTTAGTAAAGAATTGGTGAAGTAATGGAAGAAGAAGAACAATCGTCGCAAAGTAACGAATAGCTGACTAACGGACAAGCATAAATATCCGAGAGCGTTGGGTGAATCCATCCTAATGATTTGTTGAGATTAACAAGTGACCTACGACTCGAAATCAATCAAGCCAAGCTCATTTATAAGACTTACATCGATTTTGTAATGCGGAACGGATCGGCAGAACACTTCCCAAGCGATGAGAGTAAGATGCA